CCAGTGAGCAATGCGGAGACCCTGAGCATTTTAAACGTCCCTGCAGAAATCTTGGCCATTTGGTGTTTGAGCATTAATGGAAGCCATGTCTTGGCTCCCAGGCCAACTTACAGTAGTTACGTTATTAGTCTTTCCCTTGCTTGTGGCTGGAAACATCCTCCAGAAATAGCTGCTTCTCCATCCCGTTAACATGATGGAGGAGAAGGGAGTTTTCCTTTATGAATCCCTAGGAGAGGAATAATTATATGTGTGCCCATCACTGTCTCAATATAATCCTGTCAAAGAGCTGGTTCACACCCATTGCAACGCCGCCGGAGACGGGTGTGAGTACGGGGTGAGTCAGACCAGAATCTGAGCCCTGGACGGAGGGCCGAGGATCTGACTGCGCCGCTCGCAGAGTCTGGTGGTGTGCCGTGTGAGCCAGCTGGTCGGGGGCCAGCCTTCAAAACCAGGCTTGTCACCTGAGCTTAGGAAGTGCCAACGCGGGCGCTACAACTCACAAAGTACGTGAGGCACATTGTGGATCCCCTGCATTTTTATCAAACACTGATCACTGCTAGATCTCTTCCTTTTGGATGTGCTTGGCAACTCGTGACTGCTCCCTAGGTCAGCTGAATGGCATTGAAAGAAATCCTGGAGAGACCGTTTTCTTGGGGAGTGGATGTGTGGGTCTTAACCTTCGCAGGCAGTCATTCAATGTCTTCTTTGTGCCACTTGCAGCTCTAAAGAGTATCAGCATGCCAAACTTTGCACTACCAAACCTGCAAAGCCACATCTGTTTTTGTATAGAAACTCTACAGGGGCTTGCTGAGACAGAGCCAGCCTACGTGAACTGATCACTCAGCCAAAAACATGGATTAGGATGTTGACAGCTAAGAGATCCAGGAAACCCTAGAGAGATGGCAATGCTGTACTAGGAAACGGCTCATTGAAGTTCTGGTAGTAGTTGGCCAAGTAGTCAGCCCATCGGAAAAGTAGATAGACTTATCCAGGAGCAGACGAGAATCGAATGATTTGGCTATTGAGTCATCCTTTTTTTCTTGCACAGCTCCAGACAGCTCCATTAATCTCTCCTTTGGAAGTGTCCTCTTTATTTGGCTGCGAGGCAGACCAGATAATGAAACCCTTTACAAAGTGAGGGAAGCAGCCCAGCTTATCCCCGGTATCCAGAGGCAGGGCAAATAGAGATTATCAGCCCAGAAGTGCAACTAGACAGGTAATAAACCATCCCTCTGCTCGAACTCTTGGGGGAAGTATTAAGAAACCCTCCCCCATCCTTTCAGTTGATTCCTTGGGGAGGGAGAAGTCAAAAAGTCTTTCCCTGCCCATAAACCTCAGACCTGCCTGGAGTCTTTCCAAAATATCTCTTTGGGCACATGCCAGCTTCCTCCCCTTGGAAAATTGGGTGGCTTTCCCCTCACCTCCCCACCCCTTGGGAGCTACTTTCCTTTAGCCCCTACATTATCTTTTTGGATCGAGTTTCTAGCAGGCTAAGTGGGACCAAGCCAGAGTCTCCTTGTAGGTTAGTTGTAGGTGGTGGACTAGAAAAGCAAAGTGCGTTTCAGGTGAAGGTGCAGCTTGCTTAAAAGGGCATGTGTTTTCAAGGCTTCCTGTAGTGCCAGTAAGAACCGCTCTGGCTTTTCTGCTTCTGTCAGATAGTTTGCTGGAGTTGTCATTCTCCACCAGGAGTTCTCGTTCTCCACCTGCACCTGAAAGCCTTTGATATGGTATCTCATCCTATTCTCACAGATAAACTGGCAGGCTGTGATGTAGATGATTACACAGTCTGGTGGATGACAGATTGGCTGACGGGTCACACCCAAAGAGCGGTGTTGCACGGGTCGGTATCGACCTGGAAAGGTGTGTGCAGTGGAGTCCCGCAAGGCTCAGTCCTTGGACTGGTGCTATTCAACGTCTTCATCAGTGACTTGGATGAGGGCGTGGAAAGCACTCTGTCCAAATTTGCTGATGATACCAAATTGTGGTGAAAAGTTAACACACTAGAGGGTAGGGAGTGAATCCAGGCGGATCTGGACAGGTTGGAAAAGGGCAGAACAGGACAGGATGCAGTTCAACAAGGACAAGTGTAAAGCGCTGCACCTGGGGAGAAGGAATCCCTAACACACTGACAGGCGGGGGGATGACCTTCTCAGCAGCACAGCAGCAGAAAGGGATCTTGGAGTCATAGTTGTTGACTCCAAGATGAACACGAGTCATCAATGTGACGAAGTGATCAGTAAAGCTAACCGCACTTTATCATGCATTAGCAGATGCATGGCGAACAGGGCCAGGGAGGTGATGCTCCCCCTCTATGCGACACTGGTCAGGCCGCAGCTGGAGTACTGCGTCCAGTTCTGGGTGCCGCACTTCAAGAGGGATGTGGGCAACATGGAGAGGGTCCAGAGGCGGCCGCTCGTATGGTTAGGGGCCTGTAAGGAAAGCCCTACGAGGAGAGATTGAGGGCCCTGGATCTCTTCAGCCTCCACAAGAGAAGGCTGAGAGGTGATCTTGTGGCTGCCTATAAATTCATTGTGGGGGGAAGACAACAAGGAATAGGAGATGCTCTGTTTACCAGGGCACCCCTTGGAGTAACTAGGAACAATGGTCACAAACTAATGGAGAGCAGTTTCAGGTTAGACATCAGGAAGAGCTTTTTTACGGTGAGGGTGGCCAGAATCTGGAATGGGCGTCCAAGGGAGGCGGTGCTCTCCCCTACCCTGGGGGTCTTTAAGAAGAGGCTGGGTACGTACCTGGCTGGGGTTGTCTGACCCCAGCACCCTTTCCTGCCCCGGGCAGGGGGTCAGACTCGATGATCTGTTGCAGTCCCTTCCGATCCTTGCATCTATGAATCTATGAACACTTACCTACCTACAGGCCAGTGGCGAAAGGCTATATTGACCTACAGATCGTGTGAGATACATATAGGGAGTACATTGACCCACCTACCAGGCCCGAAAGCCTGAGTCAGGTGCTTTAATAATGTCCCTTCCTCCATCCCTTCTCCTCTTGTCCCCGCCGCCTCCACCCCACCCCAAACCTCACCATTCAAGAAGCTGTTCCTAGGAGAGAAACACAGGCTTGTTCATGTTTGACTGGCTCCCAGTCATGTCTTATATGGCACTTTTTTTGGTGCTGTGTGACCTCTGTCTCCAGTGTCCCTCCTCCTTGCATCCCCTCAGGTTCTTGGAAATTGTTCCCTTTTTGCTATGGTTAAGAGTGGGAGGTGAGACAGTTGCTTTTTTGGTGTCAAAACATAGGTCCTGATGTTCTCTGCTCTCGTGATGTGATTATCAAAGCCCGCATGACCGTGACTTGCATGGTGGTATTCCTGATCTCTGTGCTGAACTGAATGAGAGCAGGCTGCAGCCCAGGTCCTGTGCGGGAGTGGCATTACCATCTAAATGTGTCCCATGGAAAGACCAGACAAGGACCCCATTTGTCCCATCCCTTCTGTGTCTAAACAGGACTCTAGTGGAATTTCCCCCCCTGGTGAGGATGGAGGGCTCTTGGTAGAGTTTAGATCTCCCTGCTCTGCTGTGTTTTGGCTCATGAGAGGTCTTTGGGCTGTAAAGACCCTTATTGTGCTCTGCCCCCTGCTTTCTCACAGAGCAGAATCAAAATCTGGGCTATGCTGAGACTCTGTTGGGTGTTGGACGTGTGGTGCCAAACCCTGGCTGCTTCACCAAGTACTGGTTCCAACCTAAAGTGAGGGGAAAGACTGGTATAAAGAGATAGTACCAGGCCATCTTTTTGATATAGAAAAGATATCAAATCTTACAAGATGTTTTGGGCATCTTCTGGTTCAGTGGGATTTTTTCCCCCTTCAGTGGGCACGTGTACATGTGTTATTGCAACACAATAAACTCCTGCACAGTTTGCACCAGAGTTTATTGCTCCCAGGTACAGTGTTTACACATGCAGTCAGGACTGCGGCATGTTGAGCCAGGGTGGTGCAGCCCCACCTGGCAGGGGGCACAGGGGCCAGCTGGCCAGCCCAAAGCTCCTCTGCCCCGGCTCAGCATGGTACGTAGTGGCTGCCTGGGACACAAGGGTGCTACAGTGCGGGCAGTCCCCGCACTGAAGCAACCTCATGTCCAGCCAGCCCTGGTCACCATCTACACATGTGTTGCGGGGGAGTAAATAACTCCACCATAGGATAGTACTTGTGTCAGGCAGTACAGCCCTCGGGTGGAGTTAATTAGCTTACTCTGGCCTAATAGCACCATATGTGTAGATAGTGACACTTTACTGAGGGGCTAATTAGCAAACCCCATGCACGTGTAGTTACCCCCAGTTAGAGTTACTGAGCTAAGAGGAAGGGAGGCAGACTCTTCATGAGCCCTTTCTTTTCATCCCTCTGGGACAGCTGTGTCCATCAGAACAAGGTCACTCTTGCAGGACTGCCGCCTGCCCTGCTGCGTGAAGGGGCATCTGCAGCTGGCTCGGCATTTCCACCCCATTGCCATGTGGCTAGGAACGTTCCCTGTAGAGGGTGTCTGCATGTCTCTGTTTTTAGTCTTGCTGAGGGAGGAAACATAATTAACATTGAGATTTTTTTTCCCTTTGAAAACTTGAAAGAGAGCCATAAAGCCTGTTCCTCCAAGGCTCTTCTGCATCTCTGTCCTATTGAGCAGTAATTGCCTTTGAGACTGGTGGTGGCTTTAAACAACAGGCATGTAGATATGCACCACGGGCAGAGAGGGGCTTTTGAAATGGCAACTTGTTTTTTAAAGAGTGTTCACTGGGAGGGGGAGCTGGGAGTGCTGTGGGTCCGAGAGCCAAGGGAGGTGTCTGCGGAAAGGATTATATGCAGCAGTTGCTTGTGATAGCAGGGAATGGGGCTTGATAACCCAACAGGTCCCTTGCACTCGTATGTCCCTCGGTATGGGGTGGAGTTATTGTAATGGTTATTGTAATGGTGTAGTGGTACTGTAAGAGTTATTTTGGGCCCGGCTTGTTTCCTTATGGGTTTTTTTGTGTTTTGTTGGATGAATATTCAGGGCCGTAAAGGACTGGGCTCCATTTTCATCTGGGCATCAGGAAACGGTGGCAGAGAAGGAGATTACTGCTCGTGCGATGGTTACACTAACAGCATCTACACCATCTCCATCAGCAGCACAACTGAGAATGGTCAAAAGCCCTGGTACCTGGAGGAATGCGCTTCAACCCTGGCTACCACCTACAGTAGTGGAGCTTTCTACGATCGGAAAATTGTAAGTGTTGTCTCTGAGTCTCGCTCGCAGAGATCCACCCGCCTAAAACCTTCCCAGTGGTTCAGCAGGAGTGAGGTGTGGCTGAATGATGCAGAGTTCAGCTTCAGGTGCTCGCACCGTCTTTCAAAACTTCTGGGTACTGCTAGTGCCGTCGCTAGGCTTCACCCCAGTGGAGACTGCAGCTCAGCAGTGAACGGAGCGAGTGTAGTTTGCAAAGCCCTGTGGGCTCCCTCAAAATGAAAGCTGTGCTATAAGACTAAATCCCTGCTTGAAGTACATACCTCCAATGTAGTGCCTTCCGTGAAAATCCATGCTTCATTAGACTTTCATTTGGCGTTGGGTTTTTACGTTTCTTTCCGTTTGGGACTTCTTTACAGTGAAGCCTCAATCCTGAAAACACAGAGGCCATGTGCTCCGTGTCGAGTCGGTGGGGCTGCTCCTGTTCTTAAGCTGAAGCCTGCGCGGGTTTGTAAGATCAGGACCCTGTCTTGTAATTTTGGGCATGTCTGCATGTGCGCTTTAGTTCTCATGAGCTTATTTTAATGGGCATTAAAGCATCACGAAAAACCATGCACGTTCACTAATGGACTTTAAAAAGGCTAATGCACCTTTTTCTAGTACCTCACAAAGGAGGTGCTAAATTTAGTGTGCATTAGCAAAAGCACATTAATGAATGTGTGGACCCGCCCTTTAAGACTCGATTCTGCATTCTGTTTCTCGGGCTTTACACTGATGTAACTCTGAGGGTGTCATTGGAACCAGTTGAGAGGACGTCTAATAGGAGAAGAGAATCCGACTTCTTTTATTTCTTTAATAAGTGAAAACCTGTACAATGTTCCAGGCCTCCTAAAGCGATGTGACTGTGCACATATTGTCCTGGGCCCTCCCTTCTGCATGGATTTAATTTGGTTTCTGAGTTACTTGCACCATAGCTTGAGGTGGGGAACAGAGAGGGAGTGTGGTCCAATGGTTCCAGCCATCTGCCTGAATTCAAGTCCTTGTTGTGCTACAGATATCCTGAGCAACCTCAGGTCACCTGATCTCTCTGGACCTCATGTTCCTATCTGTAAAATGGGAATAGTGGCAGTTTCCTACCTCAGAGGCATGCTGGGAGGATGAATGTAGTAAAGGTGTGTGGTGATCAGATAGTATAGTAACAGGAGCCAGTTAATTATGAAAATAAATAGTGCTCCAGAAGTTTAGAGAGAGACGTGTGCATGCACTGCTTTGGTAGCAGGTAAAAACACCTAGGAGCTATTTCTTTCCTCCTCGGCACTTTTCCCCCATAGGCACAAGTTGGATGGGTTCCTTCCCCTCAGCCATTACGTGCAATTATTGCAAACGAGTGTGGAGTGTTACAGCATCTGTGCTCTGATTACGTTAATAGGAATTTAATGCTGACTTGAAAGGTTCGTGTGTCTGAACCACAGACCATTTTTAATCTTAAAAGTGATTTTTAGAGCCCATGCTGTAAATGTGGTGTAATTAAGACGGCGGTTTTATGCATGCTGTTTAAACAGAAAGCTTGGATATTTCAGTAGAGGTGGAAGGCCGTGTTTTGTAGCTGTGAATCCGCGCCTCTTGATTTGCACAATCTGTGCTAGGAAATGGCTCTTTATAAAGGATGCTTATTTTTACATTGATTGGTAGAAGCAGAATCGATGCTTTATACACTGCAAACCCAGCTGGGAGATTGTGCATGGCAGCAATGTTTGCTTGCTCGGGAAGGTAATAGTTTGAAAAGCTGGGCCCTCTTCTCTGACTTACCTCTCTGCTGGGGAGCTCAGAGAAGCGGGGCAGCAGGTCTGGCTCAGGAAGATGCTTGCATTCAGGACACCCACGGGCTGGCCCACAGCCGGGTGGGACATGAGCTAGTCTCATGTAGCAGATGTGCATTCAGTGAGCTCCTTGCTCTGGCAGCTCAGATTTATCGCATTGCCTGATCAGTCACCCTGAGTGTGGCTAAAAAGGACCTTGACCTCCAGCAAAACAGCTGTCTGGGCAACAACCATTTATCAAAACTTGATCATCTTTTTCCTGTTCAGTTTCTTCTAAGAGAAAAGTGGGACAACATCCATGGCTTTGAATGAATCTCTCCATGGACCATTTGGATAACTTGATTGCCTGACAAGTTATGGTGGCTTACACCACTTCCTAAAAGCAAGACGTTGGGTTTGGAGAGTCCCTGTGCATCATGTGAAACGTAGCCCTTGTTGATATTACTCACTGGCCCTGCTCGTTACCGGAGTTAGCTGGGAATTTTTCCATCGAATTTATCCATTGACAGAAAACACAGTTTTTGCTAAATCAGATTTTTCTGCAGGAAACTGTTAGTTTTCCCCATATACTTTGATTTTGCTACATGACATTTTTCTCAGCTATTTCTTTCACCAACAAAATAAAACCAAAAAGAAAAGTCAGCAGTTCAGCCTTTTCTCATTAAGTCAGGATGGAAACAACGATTGAAACACTGAGATTTCCCATGATGGAAAATCCAGTGTTTGCCCAGGTCTCCTCATTCCCTGCCCAAGCTAATGGAACTAGTGGATGGAGTTTCATGCTTTAAGAGTATCCTCAAGTTTTCAAAAAAAACAACCCCAACCCTGAAAGGGACACTAGACACACAGCATCCAGGGGGAAAAAAACTACCCAGTGATCTGCCCAAACCTTATCTATTAACTTTTATAAAACTCATGCAGCTAAACGCACCACAGCAGGTTGTAGATATTATCCCCAGACAGCAGCTGCTTTGGAAATATAACAGACACCTCCTCTGAAGAATAAGTTGATACACAGATAGTCGCATTGCATCTCCAGAGTGTCTCAGTGCTCTAGAGCTGGCTACTATTGACCAGCTTAGCAGGTGTTACCTTCAAGCAGCAAAATGGCTGGTGGGATGGAGATCTGCTTTGATCCAGCTGGATATTTTTTTGTTTTAACTTTTTCTTGGGCAGGTGCAAAATTGTCGTCTCCAAAAATCACGAGAGTGGTGCCCCAAATCCTGAGATCTGCTTAAAAACTGCAAGATTTTGAATAAAGAAATAAATAGGTAAAGATGGTTTGCCCCAGGTTCTGAGCCTTTGGAGCTCCCTTTTCCAAACTTATTTGAAATGAGTTTTTCTTCTTCTTTTTTTTTTTTTTGTGAAAGGAAAGCTGATGCCAGGAGGGGTGGTTTTAAGGAAAATACTAAGTATCATAGGGCTCAAGGTAAAACTGGGAGTGCTGGCAGCCCTAGGGTGCAGATATGTCTGATTTAATTTCTCATCTGAAAGCATGTACATGGTGTTTTCCTCTTCGTGTGTTTAAATGATGGCGTTCAGAACTAACTTGAGTCCCAGGTGGGACTTGAACATGGAGGGAAAGGTGTTACTAGCTGAGTCCATGCCTACAGGCATCTGCATGTCTATGAGCTAGATCGTTATGGGGGTGATACTCATATCCTCATCTTCCCAGCTGGTAATGGCACAGTAGACAGATTTGTCTGCCTTGCAGCTGTGGCTGGCAGTAGCAGTTTGCTATTGTTTCCCAGGACCCCAGCAGTGACGGAGAGTGAAAACTTGTGTTGATATGACCGCAGCAATGCAGGAGATGCTGTCCCTGCTCCTGAGGTTTCCTGGTGCAGCATGGATGCTTGTTTTCCAGGCACAGCTTTCTACAGGTTCATGATCCTCGGCAAAACTACTCATAGTTGTTTCTCCCCTAATTTAAGTCTTTGTTTTCTAGCAAAGTAGCCGGAGCACAACTTAAGATGGGAGCTTGTGAAATACAGCTTTTGATCCCATGTGCATCCTTGCCGTGCTTTGCTAAGACCCCGATTCACAAAGACATCTGCTTAAATCTCAGTATGTGCTCAGCTGGTGATTTCTGTGGGACACCAGTGCTGGAGCAATGTACATGCCAACCTGTTCTCCTAAATCGGGATGCTCTTGCGGGCAGGTGCCTGCATTTTGCAAATTTTCCGGTTACTTTCTTTGTGCCGTCTGCCCTGCTCCCCCCATGAACCTCACTGTCCTCCTTCTGCTGGGATGCCTACAAAACCTCTGCACTTCTTAAGCAGGTGGTTTGCTCTGAGTGCTCGGTATTCTGTTGCTCATTATCATCTCGTTGTATTGCACCTCCACCAGTTGCCTTTCAGCATTACAAACCAGGGGTTGGCAACCTACAGCCCAGAGGCCAGATCCAGCCTGCCAAGACCCTGGATCCGACTCATAAACCCAGCGGGCTTTGGTTGCATTTGGGCAGCGGTGGGCTTTGGCAGTGTCCCAGGCATAGCCAGGGGTGGGGCACTTCGGTCCTGCTCCAGCCGGGTGCCAAGGAGAAGTGCTAGTAGTGGCAGTTGCTGGGTCCTTGCTCCAGCCCACCCAGACCTGAGCCAAATTATTTGGGCCCGCTGCCACAAAAAGGTTGCTTACCACTGTTAATAACTCTTCACTTCTCAGGGCAGGAATCCTCTTTCTATGACGCACAGCACCTAACAAAGTAGAGATTTATTCCCAAACTAGGACCCTTTGGCACGGTTGCAACGTAGTCTGCTCCCAGCCACGTGACGGCTCTTTAGGGCTTATCACAGTCGAGGCTTTCAATCAGTAGCCATTCAGCTGGTCTTAAATAAACTCTGATCCCTGAGTGCTAATCTGTGCACAGCAACCTTCTGTGTGCGAGAGGGGACTTGGCCTGTCTTGTAATCTTAGATCTCCGTAGAGATCTGCACAGTCACTAGCTGCAATCACTTTGTCATTAGGTTACCACGGACTTAAGGCACCGCTGCACAGATGGCCACACGGGAACCTCCGTCTCTGCACCCATGGTCGCAGGCATCATCGCCTTGGCCTTAGAAGCAAAGTAAGTCGTTCCTTCCTTCCTTTGTCGACAGATTCCTGCATTGAAAGTTCAGAATAATAGCAGGGTCCCTGACAATCGCCACCGAGGAGAAGGAACAGGTGTTTTCAACAGAGCTGGTGAAAAGGGGGGAAATCGTTTCATGGGAAATGTCAAACTTGTTTCCATTTTATGGGGTTTGGACAGTCCCCGTCTTACACAAAACAGTCGTTTTAAGCCTTTTTTTTTAAACCAATGTGATTCTTCAGACTTTTTTCCCCCCGAGAACCTGGCTGTCACAGCGAGATGACACAGACTTCAATAGGCCAAAGATTTTGCTAGCTCCTTCAGAAGTGATTTTGATGCACTGTCAACTAAGCATGCTGTGTAAGATGGAAAATATCAGCAATGTTGTCAGGTTTTTTCCCCACCCCCTCTCTAAATGTTTCATTGTGGCTATAAGGAGGCTTTGGAACAACAACTGAAATTCATTTGGTGGGAACCATCTCAGCTAGCTCCATGCATTAAATGAGCCATGTTTGATAAAAAGGGGATCCCTTCCTCAACTCAACTCATCCTTTCCAGCCATCTCTCTTTCTTCCTCTCCCCCTCATTTCCCTGCTCTGAACAGCTGAATTTAAGAGCATACCCTAACGATCGTAACAGCTGCATCACATCAGATCACGAAGCGGGTGAATGATCTTGGGATAAGCCTTGTCCTCGCTGCGTGTGCCTTGCCACTGGCCTGCCTCTTCTAACCTAGGGGTGTCTTCTGATGCAAGGCTTCTGTGGATGGCAGCTGCCCTGGTGTCATGTGGAGTGAGAGGAGGGTCTAGCATCCAAAACAGTCAGGGTTTGCTTCAGTATCGTTCAAGTTCTCGGTGCAGATCCAGGCGTGTGGGCATCGCGGGCTCCCTGCAGGGCATAGCCACCTAGCAGCTGCACAGCCCTGCTCTGCTTCTCCTCTGGTTTCAGACAAGGCAGCGGGAGGTGTTTTCTGTGAAAACAGGCATTTCACTTGGGACTGCTGATTCCCAAGCAGCTGGACAGTTAATGGGCCTGATCCTGCTCCCTTTGAAGTCTGAGCCTGTGCTATTAGAGGGCTGTGTGTAACAAAGCTGTTGCCGACATCTGCTGATGCATGATCCAACCCTGGCAGAACGCTGATAGGACTTAGCCTCTGAAAAGATTTCACTCTTCATCCCATTGCAAGGCTGGCTCCTATACATTTCTTTTCTGAGAAGCGTTTCTTCATAGACAAGTGTCTTGAAGACCTTCTCAACTGTATTATTTTAGGGGAGGGCAAGAGAGCAGGAAGCAAAATCAGGCTGCGACTCCTAACTCCTGCAGCCATGAATAACCCGTAAGCGACTGTGATTGCACAGTCAGAGGGACAAATAAGTCATTATGTTGATGCGATGGACCTCATGGCTGGCATTACAAATGCTGGCATAGCTGGCAACTTTTGTTTTCATTACCCCCACCAGCTTTTCAGTGCTTGGCTCTGTTTTAAATCAAGGAACCCATGTTGGGTGAATACATTCCAGGAGATGTAATTTCCATTACAAATAAATTAGGAGAGTCAGATGTAATTTTTGGATTGTTTAATTGGGACATAAAATACACATGAGAGAAAGCCAAGCGCTGGGATATTCCATTATTCCAAGAAGAAATGCATTGAATTTCTTTTGCTACGTGCAGCTTAGAATTGTAAATCAAAGCTCAAGTTGCTTAAGTAACATCTGTAGGAGAAAGCACAAAAAAATGCTTGTGAAACATTTCTGAGCTGCAATTCTTATGTATGGTTAATGTGCAAATTGAGTGCAATTCACGCCAGTACAGAGGACCAGCACGATGCCTAAGCGCTATTTAAATCCCACATCAGCTCTATTTTAAGCTTGTTTTTCACCCTAAACGAGGAATGTGGTTTATTTCCCACGGGGCTTATTGTAGGAAGTCAGGGTTTGCTGTGTAGCACCTCATCCCGTTGGCTTACAGGCTCATAGAAAACTCCAGTTGGAAGGGCCCTCAAATCATCTTCTCCATCCTCCTGTTCAGGGCAGGATCATCCCCGTCCAAACCATCCCAGGCAAATGTTTGCCTAATTGGCACTGAAAACTTCAAGTGACGGAGACTGCACAGTCCCTATAGGTAGCCTCTTCCGGTGCTGAACTGCCTTTGGTGGCAGAAAGTTCTTCCTAATATTATCTACCCCAAATTGCCATTGCTGTATCAGGTCAAGTATGCTTTGTGCATTGACCGGTGCCTGGTATTTTGGAGAAAGATGGACCGATGTAGAAACTGCTTTACGGTGTAGATTTCCTTCCTGACGTCTGTGAGGCAATCAGTTTATGTTCTTAAGCATGAGAGCTAAATATATAAGTCGGTCTAATAAAAGATATCAGATTCACCCAAAAAACCTTGTCTGCCATAGCTTGCAAACACTCATTGCAGACTTATTGGCCATCGTATTACCCATGCCATCCAGTGCCCTGCTTGGCTCTGCTTCTCTTGATTCTGCCACTGCTTGGCCATTACCTCTCTGACTTGCAGAAACCATTCCCGCTGGGAAGACGGGGCGGAGTGCCAGGATCCTTTCAATCATCACCCATGCCATTAACATTTTAATCACGGGTTTATGCTATATTTCTTGTAACGGTGGTGGAGAGGCAGTTCAGTCTGTTATCAAGGGGTGCTCTCTGTTTCTGCTGCAGGGAAGGTTGCGCTCTCCTGTTCATACTGCAAAACATTCAGAGCAGAGCGTAGCTGGCAAGGTAGGGCTGGCTGAAAGTCCCTACTTTGGCACAGTGAAGGCTTCCTATAATTTCCATTGTTTTGTATCCTGTATTATTTTAGCCCTTTACTGACCTGGAGAGATGTTCAGCATCTGATTGTTCGAACGTCCCGGCCGGTACATCTGAAAGCACTTGACTGGAAAACAAATGGAGCAGGACACAAAGGTGAGGCAGACTGGGATGGAAAAGGGAGGGGCGTCGGACTGAGCAACATTTGCTGCAAAGGGGCAGAGACAGCGATATGTGGAGAAGAGGGTGAAGAGCAAGGCCATTGGTGTCACTGTCTGCACACTCCGGGGAGAAGCCCTTTGGGAGGGTCTGTGCCGTACTACTGCAAAGCCTTGCACCTTGGCAA